GTTCATGACTCACCAAAGCTCCACCAGGAGACGGGCGCGTAGCGGCCAGTTCTTTGACCTCCAATTAATTCACTGCTCATGATGTTCCAACCATGCCATACCAAGGATATGGTCATACCTTGCCTCCAAGTCTAAGCCTAGACAGCGTTCCACGATATCAAATTCAAGGCACTTGACACCGAGGTCCACAGGGACCCTCGGCATAGTGACACAAGTCCAGGTTGCTAAGCGAACAGTATCGGTATCACTCAACCGCGCTTCCAGTGCATCAGCATACAGCTGACTTTCTTCGATCGTGGAGCGTTGAGCATAATTTTTCGACGCACCATAATCGATAAGGATATCCCATGACTTCTTAAAGCCATTCACGGTCGCTTTGACGACCAGTAAGCCCGGCTTTACACATGTATCGTGTTCAAGAGCACGGAGCTCTCCGGGGCTGGGCTCTGCTGTACTCTACCTCTTTGATGATCAACAGAACGTATTTGTTCCCCAGAAGGGCACCCCGCGCCTACTGGTTTTTGTCGTTTTACCGCGACAAACGAGACTGGTTCGAAGCGGGACGTCGGCTTGACGAACCTTGACGGGCCTTGCGCCGAGGATAACCAGTCCGAAGGTGACGGGTGTTTCCACAGACGAAACACCGTCGTATGTTTAAATGCTGCAGGGCTGCTCAGAGCTCTCCCTCCTCGTTCTCAGCATAGCTGATATCTATTGGCTCAGGCCTGCTCAACAAGCACGAGTGCGTACACACAACAAGCGAGGGTGTGCATCCCAAGCAAGTCGTGCCGACTTGAAGTTAAATTCGGCATTCAACGCCAAATTTATCGCTTCTTCAAAGAAGACGGATGAAAACGGAAGACTTCCATTCTGGCCACGCCAGTGCAGAGGCCCACCATAAAGACGGTCACTGTGACCGCCTCGGGGAGAGGATCGGCGGCCATCCCGGCAATGAGAATACGCAACACTAAGACAAAGTCCACCAATTCCTTCTCGCCCTGTCGGGCCGCAAAGTAACGCAATTGCACGCAATATGCCTGAATAGGCGGTGAGAATACTCGTAAAAGCTGACGCTTCAGCTCATTTCAGGAGGGGACGTTGCTTCAACCTCAGCAACGCACGTAAGTTCTCATTTTCCAGCTTGGCCCCTGAGCTTGGGAATAGCTAACGCCATGAGCTTTTGCTCTTTCTGGACAATGGTGGATGGTGACCGTAGTCAAGT